CCCATTAGAAAAAAAGAGAGTGAAAATTAAAGAGTTAAATATCCAACTTAAAAATTTAGAAAAAGAACAATAGGCTAAACCAAAAGAAGCAGAAATATAGCCAGAGGTTGATACCTGAATTCTGCTGTTTTGGCTTGATGCCTTGAACTCTTTAGAAATAATCTTTTCTAGGTAAATATGAACCTTGATCCTTTTCTGTAAAACCGACTTTTGATTTCTTGGTTTGAGATGGTCTGTGAATTTGTTTTGTGATCAATTCCCTCACCAAGTTACCTTTTTTAGGATGTAGTTAGATAAATTAGTTAAATTTACCTATGTAACTCTTTTCTACCCAAATTTTGCTGTTTTAAAACTGGCCTCTAATTTATAATTGTAATCTTTTGGTTCTTTATGTTTCTTTTCATACAGTTGGAAAACCAAAGAACCAGGTGATCACTGCCTGCCGGGATGCAATTCGAAGTAACAACATCAACACACTGTTCAGAATCATGCGGGTGGGGACAGCTTCTTCATAGGAGAGAAAAGAAATAGGTAATGAAGTTTCTGGAAAAGGTTTTCCTTGAAAAATCTGTGCTGGTTTGCTTTGGATCACATCCTGGTGAACCCGGGGTGCTAAGAATGAAAACAGCCTTGGTGAGTTGTAAAATTAAAGACAAAGCGTTACATCTGAAGGATATATTTACCTTCTGTTTTTAAATCAGTAGTACTATTGCTGAATAATAATAGGTTTGTATGGAGGAGGACGAATAATTTTGAAATGTTAGGGCTTCAAAGTCCAATTTTTGTTTGTATATGTAAAGTCAGCATATAAATACATATTTTTTTCTTGAAATTGTAATTTTAAAATAGATTGTCTACTTTTTCATTAAAATTTAAAGGTGTTGAACTTTGTGTTGACTGTAAAAGTACCACCAAATCAGAATTGCGTAAACCATTTGTATTTTGCGGAGGAAAAAAATGTGTATTTTGATTTGTGTGTTTTCTTTTTAATCACCAAAATGGAGGTTCAAAGAACAAATTTATATTAAGGAAGAGTCAATTTAGGGTGATCTGTTAGTTAGGGTAATGTTAGCTGCTATTAACAAATGGACCTCAAAATTCACAGTGACTCATTTTCATTTATCATGTAAGGATTTCTCCGCAGTTATTCAGGGACCCAGGTTCTTTTACTCATGTAGCTCTGTCGTCCCCCAGGGCAGCCTTTTTCTACCTGAATTCACTAAAGAAATAAGCCTAAGGAAAATGTTGGGTGACTGTTTTCACAGCCATCGCATGCAGTGGAGGCCACAGGGCAGTGAGGCTTCATTTTCTCAACTGGAACCTTATTTGACAAGTGCTGTCCCTAGGGCCTTGCGGTTATTTACAGTCATGGTTTTAGGTCACCATAAGATTATTATACTGTGTTTTTACTGTGCCCTTCTATGTTTAGATATGTTTAAATGCACAGATACTTAGCATTTTATTATAGTTGCCTACAGTGATTAGTACAGTAACATGCTGTACTGGTTTGTAGGAGCAATAGGCTATATACCATATAGCCTAGGTGTGCAGGAGGCTCTACCATCTAGGTTTGTGTAAGTACAATCTTTGACATTCGCACGATGAAATTGCCTAATGATGCATTTCTTAGAGCATATCCCGGTCTTTAAGTGAGACATTACTTTATATCCAAGCCAGCAGAAATGGAAGAGCTGCCGTCTGAAAATAGTACACTATCATTTCTACGCACATTCCATGGAGTAGCATGGCCACATCTGCGGGGAGGCCAGGAAGTGTAATCTGGGTGTGTGCCTATGAGGGAAAGCTGGTATTTGTGCCAGTAGCTAGCAATCCCTTCCCTAGGAGTTAAAATTTTGCCCTAAGGTAGATTTCAGGACTGGTTTAATGAGTAAAACTTTAGTCTTTGCATCTTAATAGCATTCATAAGCAGTTTAGGGGAGAGTGGGACCTTCCCCTTGAGGTTAATATAAATTAATTTTACTGGTCTCTGCTGTTCGGCCACTTAGGATTGCCCTCTCCTGTGTCTGGAACGTAAGCTTTATGGAGCCCTACTTTTTGTGAGAATATGTCCCATAATACCTTTGTTTACCATTTTCCACCTATAAGCTGAACAGATAACCCACATATACTGTATTGTTTTCAGTAATCCCAAAGTAGTAAAGTATCATCATAAATCTGCATCGAAGATGAGGAAACAGGTGCAGGGATTAATTACTTGCCAGGGTTACAGAGTTAGTGGCAAAAGTTGAGTCCCAGTGTCGAGTCTTTTTTCTGTTTTAACCATAGCCTATACCTTTTGAGATAAAATCTCTAGTTGGTGCTGGTTTTAAATTGTATGGTCCTATTCATTTATTAGGGAACCTAATAAAATAATCTCCTCAAAGGTCATTCTATTGTTCTTTAGCCAAAAAACTTCCCTCTTAGACCTAAAAATATTTGTGGCAAGGCTAGAAGGGGTTGACCTGCAGCAAGACATCTTTAAGTCATCCTGATTTATAGGTTACTTTCACCTGAATTTGATCCTCTCGATATCAGTATCTCTGTTTCACAGATGAGGCCTCTGAGATCAAAGGCAGAAGGTCCTGTACAGAGTCCCACAGCTGGGTCAGCTGGGACATATGGCCTCTCCTGCTCCCCCAAACTTCCCAAGCAAGTAAAGACTGGGTGAGATGAAAACATTCGTAAAACATTCAGCCACCCTTTTTGTCTGGCTTGGAAGTAATCACGTTCAGCTTTGGGATGAGAAAAACTGTTCGGACAATGAGAAATGCGTTTATCAGTTACTTTTCTATTTTGTTGCCATATTGTTTCTATCGTGATAGAATCTGAGTGCTTCTAGAAGCTCCAGCTAAGCTCTGTTTTGTTGCTGAATTGTATCGAAGCTTTAAATGAACACTGAGCCTTCATTTAAAAGCTGACTTGGAGAATTTTGGTATCTGGGAGAAAGCTTTTCAGTCATTTGAGCATCCTCTTTAAAAAAATCACCTAACCCGCCCATAATTCAGGTACTGAATGTTTTAAAAAGAGAATATACTTTTTATCATTTCCCATCACGACTGCCCATCCAGCACGTCAAGGCCCAGCTCGGACGCTCTCCCTTCAGGCCTTTCCTCTCCCATGTCTTTTCCTTTACCCTTGTTACATTCTTTGTTTATCTGAGTCTTAAGCCTCCATTTAGTGAGAACAGGGCCTGCATCTTAATCAGCTTCACCCTTGTGACAATGCTGAGCCGATGCTGTGAGCATAGAAGAGCATCTGCTGCTCTCTGTGGGATTGTCTGTCCTCGAAATCCTGCCAGCAGCCTCAGAAATCAGAGAACTAGAAACTTTACAACTATTATGCAACCCTAGAAGTGTTGTACAAGAATGGTTTTCAACATTGTCATTAACGTTTCAAATTTTATAATTAGCTGTTAGAAATCTGCCAATTCAGAGTCCTATGATCAAAGAACTAAATTATCTCCAATTTCACTTTGAAACTAAAGTACAATATGACACTCATTACAGCCTGGTGTTTTGCATTTTGCTTCTTTTCCATCTGGCCCCTGCCCACACTATATGCTCTAGCTCCTGAGTCATCTTTTAACTGTACAGTATAGAATCTGCTTTTCCTAAAAATGATGTCACATGGACAGTTCTCAAGCTGCTTTTAAATTGTCTTATGTGGACTGATTTTGCATGAGAGGGAAGGAATCATCGGGATGTCCAGTTCCATGAAGGCTGGAGAGCCTGCCTCTGGCCCCATTTTACTAGCTCTTCTCTACCGACGACCTTTGTAACACGGTTGGTATCTCTTCACTCAGTTTTAGTAGTGGTAAGTGTATCATGGTGTTGAAGAGATAATGCAGCCAAAAACTCCTTGTTGAAGAAAAACTGGTCTAGGAGAGGTAGCCCAAGCTTTGATTTTTTTTGGTGTTCTGTGGGGAAGACACAGTCACAGTCAGTGGAGTTTGAAAGACGGTCTTTGAACAGTAGACAAGTCAGATTCAAAACCTACCAGCCTTTTCCCTTCAAATCATTTTCCACATCCTTAAAATTAGGGACTGACGTTATATTACTTACAGGATACTTTCTAAACATTTTATTTTTCTTCCTATTAACAGAAATGCACATGTGCTCACAAAAGTTTTATCAAAATGTTCCTAATTTCCATTATTTAACATGTAAAGGAGAAGTGGTGGAGTAGTTTCTGTAAGGCTCCTGTCTCCCCCAACCAGTGGAGCCTGAAGCCCATAGGGCAGGTAGTCAAAAAAGATGTGAAGTTGGGGAGAACAAGCTGGAACCTACAGGCATAGATTGGAGCCCATGAGGACATGCTGCAGTCTGTGTCAGTTCTTGTTGCCTCAGACCTTGATGGTGTGGGCGTCCTGCAGAAACTGACCCTTCATCAGAGAAGCTGAAGGAAGATCCAGGGGAAGGTGAAGCAGTTTCAGGCCCAGGCCCAGATGCTGATTCATGCCAAGAAGATGAGCCAGTAGGTAAGTGACAGTGTGTGTGCGCTACTAAGTCCGGCTGCTGCATTTCGGCCCTCCAAATCTTGCACGAGAATTTGTGGCTCACCGCAACTGGAAACACAGGGAAAGGAATTCTGGGAAATGAAGTTCAGTCTAGTCAAGTTGATATATTACAAAGCCACCAGTGGTTGTCACAGGATGGTGGGATTTCAGGTGATCTTCACTTTATATTTTACATGTTAATTCCTCACAATGAGCACGTATTGTTTATATAATCTGTATATAAAGCTATTCTCTTTGGGGAGAAAAAAAATCTTCCTTTACTGAAGGGAGTTGTAAGAATCGAAGGCTCATTATTAAGAATTAAGAGAAAGAGGCCATATCTCAGGCAGGTGGACATCATAGCTTTTATCTGAAAGAGGTATGCAAAGATGCCCATGTTTTAATTCTTTTGTCTCGTAACAGTTGTTGACATTGGTCCCAGGCCCTAAAAAGTAATCCAGATGAAGAATGAAATACTAATGAAAACCAGCTTCTCAGTCACTGTATCTTCAGAGCAGAAAAGCGACCTGCAGGTTGTACCATCCTTCATAGGCCAAGAGGTGCTGTTGTAGATGACATAACTGACGCCACCAGAGTTGGGCTCCTAGGGATTCTCTCCCCTCAGATACCCAAATCCCTTTCTGTAGTATGTAGAAGATTCTGTGTTGACAGACCATAAACATATTGAGATAAAGGAGAAACTAAGAAACACATTTTTAAAACTTGTATTCTAAGATTTAGACTCAGTTCTCTAGACTTAGAAAAGTTGGGTGACCTGGGGTGGTACCTATAGCCATGAGTCTCAAGCTATTAATATTTTGCAAGCTTGGCACACAGGATGGTTTCACCTGTCAGCACTCACTGTTCTTGGGTCTTCCTGGGGTTATGCCACTGACAGGCTGTTAACTATAATCTCACCCCTTCTTCCCCCACTCATGAAAACACATCAGAGAGCACGTGAGTGAAAGTGGTATTATAGAGATGACCTTCTGTCTGCTGGAACTTAGAAAAGGCAAGTTTTGAAATTAACCATTAGTGACAAAGTTTATTTGCAGTCCCAGTTGGGTGTCACTACACTGTGGTTAAAAAATTGTGGTCTCGGCCGGGCGTGGTGGCTCACGCCTGTAATCCTAGCACTCTGGGAGGCTGAGGCGGGTGGATCACTCAAGGTCAGGAGTTCGAGACTAGCCTGAGCAAGAGCGAGACCCCGTCTCTACTAAAAATAGAAAGAAATTATCTGGACAGCTAAAAATATATAGAAAAAATTAGCCGGGCATGGTGGCGCATGCCTGTAGTCCCAGCTACTCGGGAGGCTGAGGCAGGAGGATCGCTTGAGCCCAGGAGTTTGAGGTTGCTGTGAGCTAGGCTGACGCCACGGCACTCACTCTAGCCAGGGCAACAGAGTGAGACTCTGTCTCAAAAAAAAAAAAAAAAAAAATTGTGGTCTCCAAAATGGCATGCATGTAAAATCGTTCATTACCACGTGGGTGTGGCAAGACAGTATTAGAACTAGTTATTTCTTTTTACCTCATCATTTAAAATTTAGTGTTTGTTTTATAACAAGTATTATTTTAGAGCTAACATTACTACATGCGTAAAATTTATAAATATCCATATAAAGGGCATACATGCTAAAAATTTTTTTACTGATTGGGGTGTATAATCAAAAAATTTTGGAACCTAAAAAAGTGAAACTCATTCTCATTTAAATGCAAACTTCATAGAAGAATTAGTACTCAAAATTTTAGGAGATGAGAGTGGTTTAGAAGTTTAAAGGCCCAGTGTTTTTTTTTTTCTATTAATTAGTAAAACCCACACTAAAAGCTACTACAAAAGCTAGAAATAAAGGTATAAAAGAGAAAGGAAACAGGGAGACAGTATTGGGATGGAATGAGAACATCTTTCATCCACCCATGCACACCCACACACACAGGTAGTTATAACTCTCTGCAACAGTTCAGGAAAAAAAAAAATGTAACAAAATGGACAGCTTCTTGGCATTTTGATTGGCTTTTAGCATTTGGTCTCTTTAAAGAAAGGCAATTAGTTTTATAGTTCTGCAGTCTCCAACCCCCAGGGCTGTGTCTTGTTGGTAACCCTGCCGCACAGCAGGAGGTGAGCCTGTGCTGGGCGGTGGGCTGGGTGAGGGAGGGAAGCTTCAGCTGTATTTACAGCCACTCCCCACCATTCGCATCACCACGTAAGCTCCGCCTCCTGTCAGATCAGTGGCAGCATCAGATTCTCATAGGAGCTCGAACCCTCCTATAAACTGTGCATAGGAGGGATCTAGGTTGCGCACTCCTTATGGGATCTAATGCCTGATGATCTGAGATGGAGCTGAGGCGGTGATGCTAGTGCTGGGGAGCGGCTGCAAATACAGATTATCCTTAGCAGAGAAGTTTGACTGCACAATAAATGTGATGTGTTTGAATCATCCCCAAACCATCCCTCTGCCCCCCGTCCGTGGAAAAATTGTCTTCCATGAAACCGGTCCCTGGTGCCAAAATGGTTGGGGACCACTGCTGTAGTTGACCCTACAGTATTTAGGAACATGAAAGCCACATGTGAAACTAGAATCATTTAATTATTCACAGCCACAGCTCCAGGATGGAAAGGCAGTGGGTACCTGGAAACGACTGCACATGGCAATAAGTGGCTTATCTTCTTTATTAACCAGAAGTTTCTTGGGGCCATGTGGTTTGTGGTTTTAGGCTAGATTTTTTCCAAGGGAACAGATACTATACATCATCTAAGTCTACACTGTCCCGTGAGAATCACAGTGGAACAAAGCCACAGGCAGTGGGAAGAAGCATAATGACTTTGTGTCACAACCCTAAGGTACAGCATGAACAGGATGTAAGGTTCTGTAATTTTCTAAACCAGAATGATTGGGAAGAACAAAATCTGCAATCATTTATGAGTTAGAAAAAAATCACTGGGAACATGGATGAAGCTTGAAGACCTTATGCTCAGTGAAATAAGCCATTCACTAAAGGAGAAATACTGTATGATTCCACTTACATGAGGAACACGAGTAGTTAGTAGAGACACAGTAGAATGGTTATTGCTAGGGGCAGGGGAGAGTGGGGAGATACTGTTTAATGGGTACAGAGTTTCAGTTTGGGAAGGTGGAAAAGTTCTAGAGATGATTGTGGTGATGGGTACACAATAATATGAAATGTACTTAATGCCACTGAACTGTATATTTAAAGATAGTTAAGCTGGTAAATTTTATGTTATAAATATTTTACCACAATAAAAGAAATAAAAACAAATCATTGAGATTAAAAAAAAATCACTGAAGAAACTGATATGGAAAAAGAACTCAATGTTAAAAAAAACTTTTTTTTTTTAATCAAGAAATAAGTACATAGCTCCAAGCTCAAGGTCTAGATGGAAGACTAATCACTGAGTCCTATTAAAGGGCAACGAGCTTTAAGAACACTGTCAGGCGAGCGACCACGTAGCTCTGCTTCACTCCATGCCTGGCTGTTCCAGATCTCCCAGTACTGATGAAGCATCGTGTTGTCGTTTAGCTTTGCCCAGTCCTGTCATTCATAATAGACGAATGAAAAGTCCCAGAAACCTGTTCTGTTTGGGAAGGTTTTCTTTTGTTCTAGGCTTCGGTGGTTAATATGCTTGACGAATTTCAGAGTCTCTGTATCTCTGTAGACCAATGCCAAAGAATTGTTTTCTGGATTCACTGTTAGCAGCTGAAATAGACAAATACAATGACATCAGAACACAGAGCTTATTCTCAACTCTTTAAGGATTCACCATTGAATGGTTTTCATATCAAGTACCTAAACTGGGGATAGGAGGTCCTCTGAAAGATCCTTTACTAGGGGAAGAGCTTTATTCTGGCTGTTAAGACATATTCCAACAAGCCCTATTCCGGCACATAGCCAGAAAGGTTTCACCTGTTGCAATCATTTCTCACTAAAAGATTTGTGGGAATGCACCACATGGCTCTTCTTTGGAATTTCTCAGGAGGGTAGAATAAATGCTTAGTGATTACCATTTAGCATCTTTATTGCTTGCTATTTTCGGATAGAAATTAGAACCACTGCTAGGTAGATCAACATGGATATATCAGCTAAAGACACTGGCAGAATGTCAAAAATTTGGTCTCTGAATGAAAGCTTTCTCACAAACCAAAAAGGATAGTTTGCTGTCAGAAGCAACTTACCTCTTCATCTTCACCTTTAGCAATGTAGGAAGTAAAGCCACCATACTCTGGCTCCCAGCCTTAGAAGGGGAAAACAAACAGGCATCGAGAAAGCTCTGTCACTGCATCATCTTAAATCGCTGATCCCATGCTGCCTGACAGGAAGGGATCTGGGAGTTCAGTAGTAACCAACTCTACGACTGCTGAGCTTGAATTTATCATCTAGCTTATCAAGGATTCCCTCTCCCCTAAATGCCTAATTTCCTGAGACAGCTGAACAGGCTCATTTCAATGAACTCTGAATAAGAAAATTAAGAGAATTAAACGCTAAATTATACTGAGAAAGGCAATTATTAATACATAAAAGCTGCAGACCTGGCGGGATACTTGGGGGAAAATTATGGCATGGTCTATCTCCCTATTCCCTAGCCCAGGTAGAAACCCTACTTTGAACTGGAAGACTGAAATTCATGACCCCCAAGATCCCTTCCAACTTTAAGATCCTATAATCTGAGATTCTGGCCAAGGCAGATTACTTCTGAATTGGTGCAGTTGGAGAGCGTCACTGGGGAGAGACTGCCCTTCCTATGGGAACAATTCACTGCTTTCCTTCCTCCCTCTTACCTTCACAGCCACAGTAGAGAATTAAGTCCAGGGCAAATTCAGTCTTGCTGTTGTCATGGATTAAAGTGTAGTGACCAGTCTTCCAATGCCTCAGTTCTCCTTGGCATGTGGGAACACTTACTTCTAAGAAAAAAACAACAGAAGAAGGACCAGAAAATTTAAAAAATAACTTTGATACAACTGGTAGATTGCAAGGGAATGATAATTAGGAAGGACACAGCAATAAGGGGAAATCATTCCCATAAACCTTCAGCTGACCTTCTGTTCCACCAATCCAGCCTTATAAATGATTGTCAGAAATTACCAGGTCTGACCATTTGGGGGTAAAAAAGTTGAATTTCAGTTTATCTCAGATGGAATAGATTTAGTTGCAAAATATAAAAAATAAAACATCAATATTACTTTATCTAATCTTGGGGTAGAGAAGATATTTCTCAGCTTATCACCATGAAAAGCAGAAAGCATGAAAGGCAAAGAAAGATCTGATTACTAAAATATTCTATAAAATTTAAAACATGCTGAAAGAAATTAAAAAGCCAACTATTACAACCTGTAGAACAGGGGGTTAATAGTGCTATATATAACATTTTTTTATAATTGGTAAGAAAATGACAAAAAGTGTAAAGGAAAAATACATTGAGGCCATGACAGGCAATTTATGAAAAAAAAATCAATAGGGAAAAATGTACAACCATGTTCCGTTAATCAACCAAAGGCAAATGCCATGTTTACCTATAGTATAAGCAAAGTTGGAATATAAACATGATTATCAGTTTGCTAGGAAGAAGGAAAACATCATGTACAATGCTGGTGGGAGATTGACAGGTTTTTGGGAGAGCAATTTGGCAATTGCCTTAAAATTTTGAGCAGTCTTTGATGTATCACCTGTGTTTCTAAGACGCCATTCTGAAGAAATAATGGATGCACCCCCATTTATTATGATGGTGAAGAACTGGGAAAAAATCTAAACGTTCAACACAGGACTGGTGAAGGTCATTTGATGCAATAGCTTGCAGGCATTAAAAATTACACTTTGAACAGTAGTTTTCAAAACTTCTGGCTGTGGAATACATTCTGGAAATAAAAGATTCTAGAAATGGAATGATGGAAAGCAGATATTTGTAAAACTGCTTTGGTTGGGGGAGGCAAGGGTTTCCTAACTGAGGGAGATGTGCAGACCTATTATATTGCTATACAGGATGTAGAATGATGAGAAAGGTTTATGAAATAGAAGTCTGTGAAATATTAAGTGGGAAAAAAACATTACAGAACAATATATACGATGTCATCCCATTAAAAAATAGATGTGTATATATACACACCCCTGCATAAGTGTGTACGTGTATATGCCTACATAGCAAAAAAGACTGGAAGGATATATTTTAAATGTTAATATGGCCACCTGTTGATGATTATTATTTTCCTTTCACTTACCTGTTTTCTAAACATTCTGAAATTCAAAGTTATTTTTATGTTATTTTTTAAAAAAAACCTTAAAATTACCAGGTCTATAATGGTTCTGGTTATCTCACTAGATGTGCCCTACTTATGCCAACATTTAACACTGCTATATGCCCAGCAACTTTATAGCTTTTATTAATAACAATTTTAAAAAAAGCTTTATAGCTCTTCTTTAAGATGGTAAACTTTGTAAATAGTAATTTTCTCATTCATTTTTGTATTCCCCACTGTTTTGGCCCAGGACTTTGTATACAGCAGATGCTCAATAATAGAATACAGCATCTTTGGTTGCCCATATAGATTTTCTCCCAAGTTGCAGGTTCCCATGAAAAGAAACAGAAGTGGACAAATTTTGTTACAAAGCTCTAGAGACTCCATGGATCCTCACCTGGGCTCCTTTTAGGGTCTAGGCATAGATGCCAGTATCAATTATCAAGGAAAACCAATCTTTCAAAGAAAGGCTATGCTGTGTATAGAATAGCACAGAAAAAGCCACCTGGGTCTGGTTTTTCTAAATATTTGTGGTGACCAAAGTGACTGGCTAGTCAGTGTTGGGAGGCCACAGAATGAGTTACGTTGCTTCCAGCTAGCATCTCACACCGCTGATTTTGTTACCACAGGTATTCACCCCCTATCTTGGCTGTCCTAACTGCACAGGGCCCTTCTCAAGAAAGTAGAGTGGAAGGGGAGGGGGTGGTAAAACTGAGGAGAGGAACCAGGGAACAGATTTTCCAATCTGACTTAGTAAGCGCTGAGACATCTAAGCTGAATTTGTAGTTACTCAGTTAATGGTGCCAAAATTTTCACAGGAGTATTAACTCTTACATTTCTTATATTTTTCTTTTCCACCTTGTTTGTAGACAATAAACTTCTTCTAATAATTTCCTTCTACTTATTTGTCCAAATTCAAGCAAGTTTTCTGAGGCTATTATTGGTCCTTAGCAGAAATAAGCTGGCTAACCTTCCTCTCCTTTATGTTCTTGTGTTTTAGAGTAATTTTAGGCCAGTTATTTTTCTCTCCGCCACTTGTACTATTCTTAGCCTAATAAGATGTACTAGCTGTTCTTCCTACTAGAATGCTCTTCCCACAGATCCTTCTTATCATTCAGAACTGAGCTTAAATGGCAGCACCTTGGAGAGGCTTTTCTAGATCACCCTAAGAAGCCACTCAGTCATCCTTATCACATAACCCTATTACCGTGTTCTGCATAGCACTTATCATTATTTGATGTTTTCAGCGATAAGGGGCATGACTGCTGCATGCCTCTGACCAGGGACAGAGGCATGCGGCAATCCTCAGGCAGAGGTATGTAAAGGGGTGGCTGTGTATGTACACATTTAATCTGTCTTCTACTAGAATGTAAGCTCCCAGAGATCAGAGACCTTATCTGTTTTGTTCTCTAGCTCCTAAAATAGGGCTTGGGGCATAGTAGATGCTCAAGAAATATTTGTTGCATGAATAAATGACTGAATGATGAATGTTAATGGTAAATAAGGACAAATCCTAACAACAGCTTACCTTTCTTTGTTTCGTTTTCCTCTGGCTCCGGGCCTGTGTGTTGGCTGCTGCTGCTGACGGCTGCCTGATTATTCTCTGGCTCGGAGGAGCCATGGCTAGTCCCTTCTTCAGTGCTAGCAGCAGCAGAGGCTGCTGCTTCCTCTTTTTTGTCATCAGTCTCATCTTCTTCTGAAGGGGCCAAGAAGTGAAGCTTCAGGCCTGTGAAGTTGGAGAGCAGCAAGAACAGTGCCTCAGAGCGAAATAACTCCATGCAGTCCTTCAGTATATCGGGAAGCTTACTCTCCTCAGCTTTCTCATAAAACCTGAAAAACAGCATTGTCAGCTGTTCATTGAGGCCACCGATGTAATTACTCATGGAATAAAAGTGGATCGTTAGCTTTGTACCTCTCTTCCTCAATCTTGGTATAGCTTACTAAAGCCTAAGTGATTACAATAGTGAGATTTTGTTAGGGCCTCTACTGGATGTCCCTGGGAACAAACCATCATTAGGGCAAATGTTCTGTTATTGGAGGAGAGCGCTGCAGAGAAAGAGGTGGGTGCTGAACGCAGAGGCAAATAATCACAGATGGTGGGTTCTACCTTTTGTTAGGGGGACCTCGGCTGCTCCATTCCACATCTCCCTTCTCCAAGGCCTCACAGACCTTTGCAAATTTCTCAGGCTGGAAAATGAGCAAATAAAAAAGAAGTCAGCAAATCTCGCTGTGACCCCACACTGGTTTGGCAGGTACAGCAGCTCTGTAGAACATCAATCTGGCTGATCCCTAAAGCTCCAGCTGACTCTCACTCCTTTCACACAATATCCCCTAGTCCTGCTGTGGTGAAGCAGGGCAAAGACCGCATAGATCGTCTGCTTGCTTAAGCTAAGAGCCCCGAGTGCCATTTTGGACCATTCTCTTATGTAGCTGTAGATCTTACATTAAATTGCTAAACCTCCCAAATTCTAGCATTTATTAAAATAAGGATCATTAACACAGACTTTTTAACTTATGAGATGTTGTGAGGAAAAAATTAAATTGCATTACAGTCAAAGTCATTACAATGAAAACCTCTGTATAACAACTCCGATTCTCTAGGCCCCAGCTTGTTCCCTTATTTAATAAGCATTCTAAATTCCAAGTTAGGTACAATATAAGAAGCTGTTTAATCTATTAAAATATTATCCATAAGAGGCTTTACATTTATTTGTTTAATGCAGTTTCCCAGGCAGTCCGTTAAATATTTGAAAAGGGGAAGGATTCCGCAGCATAGTTTAAGTATGCTCAATTAATAGGGTTAAATAAATTTACTATAACACTTCTCAAAATCTTAATATGCTAATGTCAGCAATAAGATTCTGAGAGAGACAGAGACAGCATGTAGTATCTCTCAACCTTTTTTCATGGAGGAACAGCTTTTGGGACTATGATTCCATGGGACCCACGGTCAACTATGAAACACCGTATGAGCCTAAGTTATCTCATTTGGCCCTCACAGCCACTCTGCAGCAAAGGCAAGGCAGGTATTATCCCAGCATGACTGCTGATGAAATAAATACTCAGAGTGAGTCTGTGGTTTGTTCAGGTTATTAAAACCACACAGCATGACATGAATATAGGTCTTCTGATTTCTGACCTCCTTCCACTATAAACAAGGTGACTCATCCTTGTCAAACATTAATAGATATTGATCCATTAGTAATCTGTCTATTATTAAAAGTAATAATAAGCACCATATCAATAAGACTAGAAAGGTAACTATACATAACTCCTCTGGAAGCTTCTTTGTGTGTGTGTGTGTGTGTGTGTGTGTGTGCGCGTGTGTGTTTACCATTAAGACTACAGAACTGGGAAATACCCAAGGGACTCTTAATCCACAAAGCAAACAACTGATACCAATGTGAGCTATCATCATCTTTTCTATATTTTATTTGAAGAAGGGAATGACATGAACATTCTAATCAGGAACAAAACAAAAACACCCCAGTGATGGCTAGTCATCCATTCAGGAAGCAAAATTGCATGCCACACAAGATATACAGAACAGGATATGCTAGCCTACCTTAAGAAACTCCTTCAGGAGAATTTCAGAACTTTCTTCAAACTCTTCTTGAATTTGAACTTGGTAATCCATGTCCAGATAAGTGGGGTTGATCCAATCATATAAAATTTCATGCTTACAAAGAACCAGCAGACGCAAAAGTTAGTAATTCCTATTGGTTTTGTTTTTACATCATTTCACACTAGTAAAACACATGCAAATCCTCACTTTATAAGCTTTTCCTATTAAACATAGAGTTTAATAGGAAAATTTTGCCTGAGAAAGACACTATCAAAAGTGTAAGAAAAGTAGAAGGGGCAAGCTCAAAGTCTAGTTTCGTTATCAGGGAACAGTTAATTTTAAAATCAGAAAAACAAATGATATGCTATAGCTCCTAAGATAAGGATACCAGCAATTATCCTTACATCTTGTGGGATGTGAGGGCTCCGAGGTATGACGGGTTCAAGGTAGTTGGGAGGCCTGGTCAGTGAAGGACCATGAAACCAGCCGCTTATAGACAAACGTGACTGTTCTTCAGAGAGGACTTCAGACACCTGAAAAGATGAGTCCAGCAACACATCAACACAAAGAATAAGGAGGGACATTACCAGCCAATGCATATTAATTTCAGAGTCCTCTATGCTAAATGTACAAACAATCTCATCAGATAATGAGTCTAACAGGAAGCTGTCGTGTTTAGATAATGGGTGACTAAAAAGCACAATCCTTAGTACTCTATTTGCAGCTTACAATCTTTACCTGGTGAAAGGACACTGGAGACACTTCAAAGAAAACCAGTTTGTTCCACGAAGGGGTAAGAGACTTGACAATCTGCTTCGGCTGAAAGTGTTCTGCACCAGGAGAGAACACATCCATGAATGTGGCTCATTATCATTAACCAATTCCAGGCTGCCTCATTTCACTCTTGACAATTCCCAAATTTCTGAGAGTATCTAGATGTACCCTCCAGATCCTGAAATACCACGCCCTTCCATCTGTCTCACTCATACTTGATTGTTTGACTAGATGGCATCTGTTCTTGCTACACTATCCATCTATTATTGAGGAGGGCTGGAATAAGTTCTGAAAGTTTCCTGGAGTCAACCATTCAAAAAAACCTTGACTTTTTGTCAAATGGA